TTCAGACAATATTCTGGGTTTTAAACAAACAGTCAAAGTAACATTAGGTGAAGAAAATTGTGGTACAGCTATAAATTCCAGGTCAAAACATCCTGTGGTGCAGCATGGTGGTGGAGAGTTCCTGCAGAGTTTGAATATTCTCCCACAGAAGGATAGAGAGGCGTGGCCGTATGTGAGACGTTATCAGCCTGCAGGGAGCGTACGGCTGTCAGTGCAACGTCCTTAGAGTCTAAAATATGTGTGTGCCCGTCTCAGACACTCCATCAGGTTAACACAGGGCAGATAAACTGGCTGCTGTTGTCTATTCTGGTCTTGTTATCAGTGTTATCACATTCAGAGCTCCTGGGTGCCTTTCTGTCCTCCTCCTGTGCTGCAACACATTCAGACTGATTTTATTCTCTTTGAAGAACACAAGAAACATCCAGTTCTTCCTGTTTACCTGCTGTTAGTCCATATATAAGCACAATATTAGTCTGAAAAGGTGATACTAAAAGCTTTTTCCAACAGCACATCTTCTCCCATGATGCTCCGAGACAGAATGTAAAAACTGTGATAATGAACGTAACGTTTTCTTGCAGGTTAAATACAAAGAAGCAGTGAAGAAAGAGGCCAGCAGCTCTCTGTATCACCAGCTCCCCGAGACTCTGGAGACGCAGCGTGCTAAAGAGGTTACTGAGCTGCAGAGCGAGGTACACATCCATTATTCACATTCACTTATCCACTTTTCATGAAGTGGAATATTAGAGCACCAAAACATTAGAGAGCTCTTCCCTTCTTTCTGTGTAAAATCTAATATTTAGTTTGAGTTTGTCAGAGCTGGCCGGTGTGAGCGTCGTCTGTTTGCTGGCAGCTGTAAAGATGTGTTTAAGGACGACTGCGTGAACGTTTTCCTGTAAAGTCAGGTCTACGAGAACGTCGTGTCTTCGCTGCTGTCTTGCATTTTTTAAGCTGAGACACTGAGTGCAGCGTTACTCCTTAAATATTTAATGAATGAGTCATATTTTGCACTTTGAAGACGCTCAGCTGAATGTCGGGGATATTTCCAATGCTGTTTGTAACAGTGAGACCTTGTCTGCATGATGTCACTGAGGAACAGGAGTCTCAGATATTCAGCAGAAAAACAACAACTGAGAGTCTGTAAACAGAGTTTATGATTAATTCTCTGGTTCGGAGGTTAGATCTCTGTAATCACTGATGAATTTGTTTTAATTTAATAGTAGAGCGAGTAAGTTCAGCCAAAGCCCATCTTCAAACCTTTAGAGTGAATCTTTGAACTGCTGTGGTGCAGGTGTGCTGCAGTCCTGCAGGACAGTGACTGATGAAGGGGAATAACAAGAGGAAGGTGTCATTGCAGCCAGAGCAGAGTTTGTACTCAAACAGAGGGAGGAGATTCTTCCAGAAGATATTCCCTTTTTCCGGGGTTGTTGAGATAGAAGTGGAGAACATACTGGGATGAGATCATGGACTGTATATAAAAGATGGACATAGCCACTATGATGTCACCCAGTGACTGAAGCCTCAGCATCAGTGTTTTGGCTCCCACTGTGTTATTTTCTGGTGCTTATATCGAAACAGCAGGATGGGCTGCTAAGTAATTAACTGACGCTACAAAGTTAGCAAGCTAGTCGTACAGGTGCATTGCACAGATAGAGATACCTGCTAGTTACTGCTAACTGCTAATTTATCAGATAATTGCATGAAAAAGCCCCAAAAGGCTGCAGTTCAGTGATTCCACACAGCCGAGGTGAGGACTCGTAGAC